GCCATCAGCATCGAGAGGTGTGTGTCCATCCTGTGCCCGCTCTGGTACCGCTGCCACCGCCCCCCGCGCCTGTCCGGGGTGGTGTGTGCCCTGCTCTGGGTCCTCTCCGCCGCTGTCATTGCCACGGTGACTTCCCTGTGCCTCCTGGATGAGCACGAGCCCTGCCGGACGTCCCTCATCTCCATGTACATCCTCAGCCTCCTCTTCGCCCCGCCCATGGTCATTTCCAGCACGGTCCTCTTCATTCAGGTCAAGTGTGGCTCCCAGCAGCAGCGACACAGGAGGCTCCACACCGTTATCTTCCTCACTGTCATCTTCTTCCTCATCTTCGCTCTTCCCCTCAGCCTCGGGAATTTCCTGCAGCAGCTCGACTACACTGTGGTGTCCTCCCAGGTTGTTTTCCTGCTCGCCTGCATCCACAGCAGCATCAAACCCTTCACTTACTGCCTGGTGGGGAGCTGCTGGAGGCGCTGTTCCCTGGTGTCCCTCCAGACCTCCCTCCACAGGCTCTTTGAGGGGACGGAAGAGAGCACTGCCTGCAGCAATGGTGCCACCATGGACACACTGGTCCCTGTTGAAGGACCCCGGGACAGCAGCTGAGGGTTTCCCTGAGTCACCAGATTAATAAATATCCACGGTATTTCCTCCAGCGTCACCGTCCTGCAGTGTAATCCCGCCGGAAAGAGGAGCAGGAGCATCGCCAAGGGCAGTGTGGGAGGGATGCTCTGCAGGGAGCATGTTGGAGCACGGCTTTCTCCTCCCTCCCTAGTCCTAGAACACTCTTCCTCCAAGGGGATCGTGCCCCACAGGGCTGTGATCCCAAAAATCCCCCTGGCGCATGATTCCTGCGTGCCGCTCTGGTCTGATAGCAATAAACAGCTTTGTGAACCGGCGTTCTCCGGCTCCTGCTGCCAGCCGGGAGTGTGGGCAGAGGGAGGCGACACACACATGCAGGGAGGGGACACACTCATGGCTTGTGCTCCCTGGAGCACAAATAATCCCGAGAGCCCAGAGCTGGGACTGCACCAGCACCCTCCGCATGGACAGGATGCCCCGGGGTTCAGCGTTCCACCCCCAGACTGCTCCGTGAGCGTCACAGGAAAGATATCCCCAAACAACTTTTTACTTTTAATTTTGTGGGCCAGGTGTAAGTGTAAAGGACTCTTTTCCTTCGGAAATTCTCCCTCTAGCCTGGCTTCAGCTTCTCCTTCGGCAGACTGGGATGGTGCAGCAGCAAAGGGAGGGGGAGTTCACGGTCCCTAGCCCGGCTACCCAGTGACACAGTGTGTTTGTCACCGCGGGCTCCACGGGGCATTGCCCACCTCCCCTGTGGCTTTGCCGAGGTCTCCAGCCCCCGCAAAACACGCACCTTCTCAGCACATCCCACACTTCCCCTCCAGCCCCATCACATCCCACACATTCCCACTATGTCCCACACCTTCCTACCAGCCCCTACATCCCACAGCCCCCATACCAACCCCCAGCGCCGCTTCCCCATGCCAATCCCACCATGTCCTGCCCCCTCATGCAGCCCCCCGCCCCCCAACTCCGCCCTACTCCCGACGCTCCAGTCCCTCCCCATGGGGCTGCTCCCCCCAGGACGCTCCGTAAGGTTTTGGGGGGCTGTCTCTCTTGGAGACTCCCCACACACTCAAAGCTTCACCCCGTTATATCCAGCCCGCCCCAGCTTCCCTGGGAAAGGAACGAGAGGCGGCCGAGGGATAGAGCCAGCGGCGTTTATTGGGGTGGAGGACCGGGAAGGGGCCGGGAGGAGCCGGGACTCTGCCGGGGGTCCCGGGTGGGGTGGGGCAGGAGCGGGGCTGTCGGGCACTGCCCGGGGGGAAAGCTACCCCTGGAAGGGGGCTCTGGAGGGTGTTGGGGAGGCCTGGAGGGTGTCAGAAAGGCGTCTATAGGGTGTAGAGGCGGTCTGGAGAGGGGGGAGACGGTCTGGAGGGTGTCGGAGGGGGTCTGGAAGGTGTCAGGAGAGGATCTGGAGGGTGCCAGGAGAGTCCTGGAGTGTGCCATGGGGGTGTTGGAAGGTGTCTGAGGGTTGTCAGAGGGTGCCTGAGGGAGTCAGGAGGGTGTCGGAGGGGATCTGCAGGTGTCGCGGGTGTGTGGATGCCGCCCGAGCCGTGTCCCTTCGCTGGAGGGCAGCAGAGCCCGTCGGGCCGGCCGCGGAGCCGGGGAGCGGCCCCGGCCGGGAACCTGCGGGGTGGAGCGGGACCAGGATGGGAAAGGGATGGGGACAGACACAGCATGGATCAGGACGGAGTGGGGATGGGATAAGGGATGCATCCCGACACACAGCTGCGCGGGGGTGACCTGCGGGGGCCTGGCTGGCAGCGGGGGTGGGCGGCACAGCCAGTGGGACCGCAGTGGCCTCTCAGCTGGAGGCCGTGGTGACCACCGTCTCCTCAAAGACCCTCCGGAAGGCGACCTGGAGGGACACCAGGGAACAGCGCCTCCAGCAGCTCCCCACCAGGAAGTAGATGAAGGGGTTGGTGCTGCTGTTGATGCAGGCGAGCAGGAAAACAACCTGGAAGGACACAAAGGTGTAGTTGAGCTGCTGCAGGAAATGTAAGAGGCTGAGAGGAACCCCAAAGATGAGGA